GAATAATAATAATAAACAAAAAGACTGCGTGTAAGTCACATATGCCATCACTCACGTAATTAGCTTGCGGGGCACTTATGACTAGCATATCCATCCTCCAGCAACTTTCGAATCATTCCTTTATAGATATGACCCAGTCTACAATGCCACAAGTATGCACTGTTCTCCTCACCTTGTTTTCTTTTAGACACACTTACATTCATGATATGTAGAGTAGTGTCTAACATAAACAAATCATTATGCGATATCCCTCTAGTGATGATCTTATCATCCTTAATAATTGAATATCTATTGTTCTCTAAAATAATTTTATAATCATTCATTGTCAAACATGAAATGGAATAGTAGCTCACAGACAACAACAGCAGCAACTTTTGTAAAGTGACCTCGTTGACAACAATAGTAGCAACTCTTACTCTATTGTCCATCTTGAGGTTAATCTCGCCTTTAGTCAATCTCTTAGGCTTTGTTAGAATCTGCAATGAATTATAGATGTGATAAGTAGTACCGATATCCAATACCCTTGCACTATCACAAAAATCTAATAACTTGAGACTGATTATGAATGTACTTGAAGCTTTTCCAAGCTTCTGGTTCATCTTTTCTGCAATGTATTCTTTGCGGTTCTTCTTCTATTGCCCGTCTTTATTATATTAGAAGCATTGGCCTTTGTCCTTTGCCGGGTCCTTCTATAAAATGTGTTTTGAATTTGAGGTTCCACGTAAGCATGAAACCTATTTTGAAAAATTGGTCCAAAAAACAAAGGTCTTGAACCACTTATATTATCTTCTAAGCTAATTCAAAAATAATATAACCAAGTCAAATCTTTAATCAGCTATTTGGTTTTAAATGGTGAAAAATCTTCTCTTCTATCTTTTCCTTAAATTTTCTCTAATGTTGTTCTGTTTGTGCTTGTGATACTACAACTTATCTTGGGAATTGATTCAACCATAAATCTGCACGAAGGGGCAAAATCATTCCTTAGAAAAGTTGATAATGATTTTGGATGAATTCTAAAATCTATTCTTTTTTATTTTATTAATTAAATTAAATTAAATTTTTATTGTTTGGTATTTAGCCTAACATTCCCGGACTCCTCTATTTTTGGAGATTGAATACAAAATTCTTCTCCCATCTAAAGTTATTTTAATTTTGAAGATCATATGGCTGACATATAAAGCAAATATGTCAAAGGTAGTTTTCACCGTCCACACGATAGAAACAACAAAGTAGGGTAATTAAATTTGTTCCGTCATCACAAAGCACAACATCAAAATATTCACTTAATCAAATCCTCACTATAAATAATGATCCTTCAAACTGCAACTCTAAACAATGAGGTTCTCTCTCCCAGCAACGTTCTTTTCTGAACACAAAGATTTGCCACAACCTTAGCTGACTTTTAATATCAGTGGTCTCTGGACAAGATTCTTGTTGCACGCTAAAATTCGAACTCAAATCAGATCGAGTTATATCCGTAATTGAGATTGATGACCGAACCGATTTTAAGAGTACTCTCCGTAATTTGGATTAATAAAATTAATAAGGTAGGTATCAGTTATTTTAGATGATAAAAATCTTGATAGTTTGAATCTCATCTTAGTCACTTATTTTTAATTAAAATTAATAATAATTTGATTAATCTGATTGGAAAAAAAAAGGTTCTCTAGCCATTAAAGTCTGGTAGGGACATAGAAATTAATGAATTAAACTGTAAACCATAAGGTTGAAATTTTTGAACACATGTACAGGAAAATTGATTTGTTGAAGTCATGTCTAATCAATGCAGCAGTTTGCAGCTTGGTGTGACTTCCACAACTATAGGCTTATCCCCTGGGAGTCAAGGATCAAACGTGTGAGCAATATTCTCCCTTCCTGATGATAAACTATGATGGCTGTTAGGTGTGCAAGCACTCCAAATTTTCCATCAATGTGGAATTGGAAGAGTTCACGCACTGACGGACCAACTCGGTTTGTCCAGTCTGGTGACTACTGCTGAGCATGAGAAAATGGTTGATGGTAGCAAGTTGCAAATGTACCTGACCTCATCTTAAAGACTGTTGATTAGATGCATGCATGGATTACGTCTCTTCCATCTTTAACTCTTTTGATCAATGCATCGTCTTAATTAGGTCAAGGACATGTGATGACAAGAATCTATTCCACTATTTGTAACCCATATTCCAAATGGAACAAGACTTCCAAGTCCTCAGCCAGAATTTTGGAAGGGATAAGGATGGTGGGGAGAAAGAACAAGCTGTTGCCTTTCGTTTTCTTCTATCAGGAAGCCAAGAGTTCCAAGAGGAGGGTAGACCTGAGGGGATGATGCCTGTGTCGAAACCTCTATATAAGGAGTAGGAACACAGCATGTTGATGAACACAAACCATTTCAGCGGGGAAGAAGAGAACCCTTTTGACAGAGTTGTTGTCATGGCAACAAAAGCTTCTCTCTGCATAAAAGGCTTTGCCTTGCTGGTTTCAGTCCTTGTAGCAGTTCCAACAAGTTCTCTCTCTCTCTCTCTCTCTCTCTCTCTCTCTCTCTCTCTCTCATATTATATATTTGATTGTTAACTCTTACAAATTTATTAGGGTTTTTATAAGAGTTCAAGCTTTTGGTAATTTAATCATGGTAGGTTATATTTTCAAAACTTGTAACCTGCATTTTGCTCTCTTTATTTCATGCAATATTCTTTTCCTTGATTGGCTTACGTCATCTACTTGAGTTAGCTCATATGTAACTGTTTAAATATTTGGGATTATTGGTTAACGGATAAAAAAAATTAATTGATTTTAGAAACAATGCTATATATATATATATATATATATTATAGGTAGAAACTTGGTATAATTCACACGTATGTTCGCTTTATCTGAATAAAATGAGTAGTCCTTTCAATGCAGATTAGTCTTACTCCACTTGCAGATGCACGACCAATTTGCTTGATCATCTTCCATAGAGCACCACAGCTAAGTCTCCGATGTGTTCTACTGCAGGAGTGCAATCGATTGGTGTCTGCTACGGCATGCTCGGCAACAATCTTCCCCCGCCCAGCGAGGTGGTCAGTCTCTACAAATCCAACAACATCGCGAGGATGAGACTCTACGATCCAAACCAAGCCGCCCTGCAAGCCCTCAGGAACTCCAACATCCAAGTCCTGTTGGATGTCCCCCGATCCGACGTGCAGTCACTGGCCTCCAATCCTTCGGCCGCCGGCGACTGGATCCGGAGGAACGTCGTCGCCTACTGGCCCAGCGTCTCCTTTCGATACATAGCTGTCGGAAACGAGCTGATCCCCGGATCGGATCTGGCGCAGTACATCCTCCCCGCCATGCGCAACATCTACAATGCTTTGTCCTCGGCTGGCCTGCAAAACCAGATCAAGGTCTCGACCGCGGTCGACACGGGCGTCCTCGGCACGTCCTACCCTCCCTCCGCCGGCGCCTTCTCCTCCGCCGCCCAGGCGTACCTGAGCCCCATCGTGCAGTTCTTGGCGAGTAACGGAGCGCCGCTCCTGGTCAATGTGTACCCTTATTTTAGCTACACCGGCAACCCGGGACAGATCTCGCTGCCCTACGCCCTGTTCACGGCCTCCGGCGTCGTCGTGCAGGATGGGCGATTCAGCTATCAGAACCTGTTCGACGCCATCGTCGACGCGGTCTTCGCGGCGCTGGAGAGAGTGGGAGGGGCGAACGTGGCGGTGGTGGTGTCGGAGAGCGGGTGGCCGTCGGCGGGCGGAGGAGCCGAAGCGAGCACCAGCAACGCGCGGACGTACAACCAGAACTTGATCAGGCATGTTGGCGGAGGAACGCCGAGGAGACCAGGGAAGGAGATCGAGGCGTACATATTCGAGATGTTCAACGAGAACCAGAAGGCTGGAGGGATCGAGCAGAACTTTGGCCTGTTTTATCCCAACAAGCAGCCCGTCTACCAAATAAGCTTCTAGAAACTAACTTGTAAGGTTGATGAATCATCTCCTACCTACCTACCTACCTACGAATAAAACATGAAATGAAGCACCAGAATAAAGGGAGAATTCTGATCATGGAGAAAGTTGAATCATGATGATATACAACAAACACCCCTCTTTACTCATTATCAGTATGTTACAAGTTTCTGGAAACTTGAACGGATCACAATTTGGACCTACAAGGATTTTGGGTCATAATTATTTCATTGAACTATATATTCAAAAAAAGATGTGTTTGGAGTGCTTAATACAGTATGACTTCAGTTTGCAAGATTACCTCTTCAGCGTCAGCTTCAGCATGCCAAAAAACCATCATCTGCTATGGGGCATGTTTTACACCTTGATGGTGCTACATCATCATCATTCATGTTTCATTTTAGGTCTCGTGCTCTTTATATAGATCACATAAAAGTTTGGATCGCTTCAAGTTTCTAGGTTACATTGTATGCAGCACTTTGAGCCTACCGAACATTGTGACTGCCTTTTAGAACATTGGACTGCAGACATGCCAGTTGAGAATGCAGGAGAAACAAGGAAGCTTTTTAACTTGGTAATTTCAAGCTTCCTGTTTCAAAATTATTAATAGCCCACAAGATTTCTCAAACTTTATATTGATAATTTTAGTTCAAACAATGATTAGAGTAATTTACGTGCACAATCTTGTTCTCTCACGTGGCAAAGTCACCTGTCATTTCAATGCAGCAAAGCATCTGGCAGTAAATTACGACCACCGTGGAACATCAACAATTGATAGATTGGAAAGGAAAGAGCGGCGGGAAATGGCACCCACCATGACATGAGGTCTGATTTCATCAAATAACTGATGACACAGTTATTTGATAAAATAATAATGCATATCTCTAAAATTGTTATTTGATGAACCCAGTTTTATGTCACAGCTCTGGCACATTACAAATTTTGACATTGAAAATAATAATGCATACCTCTAAAATAGGCAGTGGAAAATGAAAACATGACCCTGAGGAGGCCAACTAGGAGTTGCTAGTAATCCTACTCCCCGAAGCACCCAAGTAGTAGAAAACACAAGCAAACAAATATAATTAGGCAGTATAAGAGCGCATTAGTACTACAGCATATAAATAAAAACATAAAACCACCCAAGCCAACAAATGAAGCGGGCTTCAGCACATATATCCTCGAGGAAACACAAACTGACCAACAGGATCTGACAAAAACATTTTCTAGATATTTCAAACATCAATTGGTAAGTTCCATGATAGCAGTGACAATATCACCATCAGCTGCTTTGAGTGCCTTGACAGCCTTCGACCTGGAAACCCCAGCCTGGGTCATCACCAATTCGATGTCTTTCAGCTCCACCCCAGTTTCGTCAACTTCTTCGTCATCGTGTGCTGCGGCAGATGGCTCAGGTTTTGAGATCACATGGCTCAGATCAGGGGCCTTGAACTGCTCCGCAGCCTGAGTCTGCAACTGTGAGCTCAGGTCCTCAATTTTGGCCTCTCCAAAAATGACATAGGTGTCTGAGGTTGGGCTCTTGAAAACATCTGGTTTTGAGATGACAAATAATATCTGAGGCATCACAAGAATTTTCTTTCTTTAGAATTCTATTCTAAAGCAAGAAATAAAATTGTACAAATTTTCCCCACAACTTACATTTTTGCTCTTCTTCACAGTGACACGACTAACACCAGGTATTGGCTTCATACCAAGCTTCAGCATAGCCTTTCGACTTTTTTTCTCGCTTCTACTCTGCTTTGATCTTCCAGAAGCATCACCTGCTTGCCCTACAAATAGTTAAAGAGATATCATACGAACTTTTTAAAGTCCAAGAGAATATAGGGTAAACAAATAACCCATAAAACATACACAAGAATGGCATATGTTCAAAACCATCTCAAGCTAAAAGAACAAAAAAATCTACCATTCCATTTTTCTATCAGAAACCCACAACCATGATCATGTAGGCTCAATATGTAACTATGGGATCCTCGAGAAAAGTGGAACCTTTGGAAAGAAGGATGGCAAGTAAAATAAATGCATCATTACAGAACCTTGTTACCAACTTTCACTTGAGAGCTCACAGTACATGCAGCAAAAACCTCCAACTGTCAAACGCCTAAAAGATGTACCATAAATACTTAGTGCAGAAAGAACAGCGCAACATATATATATGAGAACCATACTATTCTACAATAGTGGTGTTTTAGTGGACAACTATGGGAAATTAAATGAGCCTCGAATAAGATCAGGATACACTGCTATAACTGACTTTTAGATTTAAATAACTACTTGCAAACTGATAAGACATAGGGTTAAGATCTATAAGGCAGCTCACAAAAAAATTATTTTCTTTTCTTTTCTTTACTCTTTTTAAAGAATATAATTGGGAAGACAAAGCAATCAATCTATCCATCTTTCATAGCTAATACTACTAATCTTCAGTAGGCCAATACCAAGAAGAATGTTCAAGATCTGATCAATTTGAAATCAATCTAAGTTGAGTCTAATCTTGATTATGCAGTTCCCACGATATATAATCACCAATGGCTTGACAAGAAAACATGAATATGGAAATTACAGCATGCAGAAATGAGTTACTAAATATTTTTGTGACCACCAAAGTGAAGCAAATTCCAAATACACGAGTCCAAGACTGGGAAAGTAAGGAGCCATTTATCAGAAATTGGCAGTAATCATATGACATACTGACACGGACTTAGCTGGTTTTGCCTAAGTCGTGCGGCACCCTTGCGTGTCCGTCCGCAAAGGTCAGCCTCCCCAAAGACTCCCATTGTCCCTTAGGACCAACGAAAGAGAGAACAGGCAAAAGAGAACGCCTCAATTGGGATCCACAAGCAAACATGTCCGAAAAACACTTCATAGACAATGCAAATTACAAACAGACTTTACAAGCTCTGAACAGTGGCACAACAAAGGGTAAAATGGTCCATTACAGACCGAAAAGCTCTCGCACGTGTCC